TCTGTACTTTTCAGTACATGTCTGGCAGTTTGTACTTGCTTTGGGTCTCACTAATCAACATCATGTACACAGGGTTTCCTCGGTAGTGCAAAATGGGTAACAGTTCCAATGAATTATTTATTTCTTTCAATGATCATCCTTTATATTTTGTTTTACTGACATTTTCCTATGTGGCAAAGATTCACAGGTTTAGAAAAAGCTTTTGTACAGAACGTCACTGCAATCAGTTTGACTTCACATGAAAGCCATGGAGCTGCCAGAAAAGCTAACCTGCCCGAAGAAACTATTACCTATAAATTTTTTATCAGTGTGTAAAATTTCGCAGGCATGCTATTGTACCTTTTTGAAAGGATTTAAAATAATAGAACAGCCGCAACCGTTATGTTGCCCAGCTGCTGAATTATACATTGAGAAAATTGACCTAGCATTATGTTCTGTCTATCAGAGTTAGAGCCTCCCGGCTCACAGTCATGGCTTGTCAGGTTTGATGGGGAGCTGGTTAAATGCGATGTCAGAGTAGGTTACCTGGGGTGGAGCAGAGTCGGCTGGCAGCCCTGTGCTATCTATCAAATCCAGCAAAATACTGGAAAGTAATTAATGATGTAGACTTCCAGTGACTGAGTCATGCATTCTGCTTTGCAACCTCCCGCTCCTTGCACACAAGTTACAACACACAAAGCACACGCGGTGAGAGCAGGACCCCACTTCACAGCTGCAGGGCTTAGGCACCGCAGCAGCTCACCAGACGGGCCAGGCCTTCTGCTTCCTGACTCAAGGCCTTTTCCAGGGGTGGCCCCGGACTCCCCATCAGCCGGCCCTGGGGAGGCTGACAACACGGGTGGATTTGGGTTCTGATCCCTTTGTGGTTTGAGAGGCCTCAGGACACCTTCCCCTCCAACTGCTATTCTCATTGCCGTCCCTTGGTGCTCAGCCTCCAGCCAAAACTGTGCTCAGCAGGGAGAGGCAGAAGTGTAAGGAGTAATTCAGAGTTATAAATCAAAAGACAAATGCAGTGCCCTTCCTCTCAAATCTGCATCAAGCCAAACAAACTGTGTCAACTTCAAGCCAACTGTAACGCTATTGCCTCTGCCTGATCGCAGGCAGACTGCTAAGAAGACCCACATCGTTGACTAAACAGCCCTCATGCAATCAAGATTCAGGTAAACACATTAAGATGCAACAAGAAAAACTGTGGCTGGGGCTCTCCCAGAGCCTTGTGCCTCAGGGAAGCAGCACGGGAACATTTACTACAGAGCTCTTTCCAGGACACGCAAAGACTAAACAGCCCTGGGCTCTGGCAATCTTCATCCAGCTTGAAAGGAGGCCGGGCAGGCCCAAGTTCAGAGACATCTTCAGGCCCAGAATGTTTGTCGATCCTAGAGCACATCTGCTGTTGTCATAGCACGAAAAACAGAGCCAGAAAACTGCCTGTGTGTTTTTAGGGCCTTTGACCTGCCACAGCTCTAATAAGATGTTACAGAAACATTACGTACAAGATGAGGCATGTATGTGGAGAGTGACTGATGTGCTGCAAAAGCCTTTTGTTTGTGTGATCCTGCATGTGGCTCAGATGGTGTGAGGAACGCACTCTGGGTGCCCAGCGTGGACCTGAACCTGGCTTTCAGGACATCACGTTACGTAATTCCGCAGCACGATGCACAGCGGCTGGTGCAGGGTTTTGTCTGTCCCATCACCCCAAGTGCCCCACGTCATTAAAAATTTCAGGGTTCAGCACACAGTAAATTGATTCTTTGTCATAGGTTAGGGCTGGGCCGGCCACTAAACACAGACAGATGCTCTCTAACCCTCTTTTCCCCCGCAAATGGAAAGGGAAAGGGAATAAGGCAGAGAGACTTTAGGGCTAGGAAAGAAAAACTAAAACAGCTTTAATGAAGCAATAATGGAAATAATAGTGAAATGATAAAAATATAGAACTATATACAACTATATATAAGCCCAATATCGAACCCGACTCTCTGACAGCAATCCCCACCGATGCTGCAGAGCGGGAGGCACTGGAGAAGTCCCAGGCTCACACAGCAGTGGGAGCTGGATAAAGGGAGCTGGATTCGAGAACTCAGGATCCGGATCAAAAGCAGGAGATCAGACAGAGTCTTTCCTGGACACTGGCCATTGCAAAAAAAAGGAAAGGAACTCTTGTGATCACTCAATTTATACTGAACATGACATATATGGAATAAAATACTCTTATTGTTCACCTGTTCTGTCTGTTACCCCCCAGAGGTGCAACCCTTTACTTCCTTGTGACCCCTCTTACTACCCGGCACCCCCAGCGTGGCACACAGAGCCAGCAGTGGCCTTGGCCACTATAGGAGTAAGTATCAGCAAGAGCTTTTCTGCATCCCAGTCCCAGGCAGTAACTGTAAACATCAGGTGTTATCACTGCCAGTAGCAGGCACTGTCTGCAAAAACATGCTGCTCACTTCAGAAGGTGCAGCCTCTTAGAAGAGATGAAACTGGAAAGTAAAAATTACCAAACAGAACTGGGTTCTTCAGCTAAAACCAGGACATTCTTTTACTAGGTCAGGCCTGGTAACAAGCATTGATTTAAGCAGCTTATTGCAAGAGACGACTAAATGCTGTTCCTAAATGGCAGCTCTCGACGATCAGAGCACAGATTCTGCTCCTGGTGACACATCCCTAGACTCAGCCGTGCTGGGAGCGTGGCAGGACTAGAAAGACAGGCCTCTGCTATCTGGTATTGTTTGGGAGCACGAAATGTTGTTTACTTCCTAATCTTCTGACAGAATATAAAGAATTACAGCTCTGGGCTATCTCAGAGGGATAATGTGAGTGACTCAGGTTGTATATTGACCCCAGCCGCTGTAAAGATATATTTTACAGTGCTTTTAAAAACAATGAATGCAGATTTCTGTACTTCTGAAGGTGCCTACAGTGCACGGAAGATATTGTCATGAGGTGTTAAACCAAGCACATCTGGCCAAGCCTCATGTTACTTGTTATTATCAGTCGTGACAAAAGAAGACTGGGGAAAATGTGGGCCTACTGCTGAATAAGACAGGGGACCTGGTTACACGGAATATGGAAAAGGCTGAATTACTGAATTCTGCTTTTGCATCAATCTTTACTGGCCAGTCTGGCCTTCGAGCATCTGTCTAAACATCAGGAAACTCTTTTACCTTGAGAGTGACTGAGCACCGGCACAAAGTGCCCAGCGAAGTTGTGGAGTCTCTGTACGTGGCAATATTCAAAAGCCACCTGGGTATGTTGCTGGGCAACTGGCTCTGGGTGACTCTGCTTGAGCAGGAGCAGTTGAACAAGATGACCTCAGAGGTCCTTTCCAACCTCAACCATCCTGTGATTCTGTAATGATTACTAGCTGATTAGGAGGGGAAAAAAAATGATGGGAACATGTATAATCATTTCTATATCACTTTGTTCTTTCCTTCCCATAGACAGTCAAAAGCTGGAGAAAGGAAATATTGTTTCTCCCTTACCACTATGAAAATTTGCAAAGAAACTCCCCCGTATCAACACATGCAGATCTGTGCAATCTCAGTTCAGCATGACAGAAATCAATGCCTGAAACATTTAGAAATTATTATCTGGTGGATCGCTTAGTAATCTTCACAGCAAGACAGAAATGTTTTCCAGAAACTCAAAAACTCTGCTTAGTCAGTTACAATTCACTCACCTAAGCAAATACAAGCAAGACTAGTTACAATTAAATAGCTTTATGGTGAATCTTATGTTTTCCTTTGGATAGCCAAGTCCATTTTAAGCTTAGACTCTATCAACGTGGGAATCTGAGAAGGACAGAAAGCCAAATCAGTTTCTCTCCACCGAAAACACAGAGAGGCACATCTTTTAAGCGAACTAGGATATGCTTTACTGCCTTTCATCTGTTTCGTTCGCGTCTTTGGTTTGTTTGTTTGTTTGTCTGTTTTTAAAGCATAATTGTACTTCAGTGGCATATCTGCAAACATTTCCATTTTTTCTTTGGTAAATGCACCGAGGAAAGGCTGACCATCCACAACAACTGAAATGTACCCAGGCAGTTCTTCACAGGTGTGCCCTTCCACTTCCATGCAATCAGGGAAGAAAAATGTTGATTCTGAAAGTGGCAAAAAAGACTAGAAAGTTAATAGCATTCTAATATACAACTTAAAAGTGTGGTAGTTATTATTTTGGTCAGTCCATTACAGGAGTAAGGACAGGAAATACAGCTGTGATTGCACAGATTTAAGTATTAATTACAAGAGGTGGTAAATCATGGTGCTCTCAAGATCTTATGTAAAATCCACTGAATTAATTGAGTCCCCTTAGATTCCAGTGGGCTTTGGCAAAGTCCTTTAATGATATTAAAATCCATCTGTTATTAAACATCATATTTAATACAATAATATGCAAATGCTGTGACTTGTAAATCTCATTACGCAAAAGTTCAGGTCCAGTTGTGCTCCCCTTGAAGTCTGCAACATAATTTCTGTAGACATCAATAAGAATAGGTCTGGGATATCCATTTTTAATTGCACTGTACACAAATACTGACAGAAGAATACAATATAGTAGTCACAAACTTAAAGAGGCTTCTATGAAACCTACAAAGAGCAGCAGCACAGGATCAATGAAGTAAATGCAATATTTAAAAAATAATAAATCAGACCTGTTTTTTGAAAACAGTACTGAAGAAAAAGACAAATGAATTGGCACAATTTAACAACCTAATTTCTAAGTGCACTTTATAATAACTCTCCTCACAAGCTGCTGTTTTCCCAGAAGATGATGACAAAAAGCCTCATTAGAAAATCACTGTTTTATAGTGACTGGTTTTATTGCATTGCCTGCTGTGAATCTAATAAAAAAAGAAACATCCCCCCCCAAAAAAAAACCTACAAAGGTTCCTAAAAACCCTGTTTTCTTTTGTTATTGTCAAAAATAGCAACATATCACTTCCATGTTTGTGAGTACTCAACAATTCTATTTTTTAAAAAAAATAGAAGTTAAAGAAAAGTGATTTTGTCTTAGCTTCAAAAATAATGTAAATAAACATTTGAGAAGATATTTCAATGATCAGAGAGATATGTACAATGTGATAGATTTGAGCTCAGTCCCCCGAATACATGTTCAGGAGTGCAGACTTGAGAACCTGTTCATCCTGCGTGAGTGTAACTAAAGACTGACAGGATCAGGTTCTTGGCTTTACCTGTTTTTCCACAATCTGTCCTAGGCTATAAAGTACAGAGACAGCATATACTCTGTATACTGATTTATACAAAAGGTCTTTTACAGCTCTAACCCTGTTATTGCTAGGCTAAAAATGAACATTTGGAAAAAATTACATAAATCATAAAGGATAAAATTGAGATGCAGCTTCTGATGACTGAATTTCCACTTGAGCCATTTTAAATTGGGTACACTGTAGCCATTTGCGGAGCACAGATGAGCTATTGTTCATTTGTCCTGACCCCTGTAACATCCTTAGGCTGTGATGGTTGACATTGCTCTGGATGGCTTGGAGGCGTAGCTGGAGTCCAGCAGATAAATGCTGTTGAAATAATGGAAAACATTCCGTTTCTTTCCTTTAATACTTACATTAATACAGCACTGTGAAAGGTACTGGTTGTTGGCCAGGAAAAGTTCCTCCACTGCCCCAATGTTACATTTCTTTCTTTTACATCCTGCACTGCACTGTTGCCATGAAAGGCAAACACGCTTACAGAAACAACTCCATACTGAGACCAACCCAAATACTTCTATTCTCATCACCAAAATTCTCTCGACTGGCAAACCACACTGATCCACCTTGCTCTCTCTTACAAGCACGGCCAGCTGGCACAGTTTTACCCAAGCAAGCAGGCCCACAGTACCTGCTACACAACCCAAATCTGTCTCCTGAGTCGAGAGACCCAATCCTGATTTCTCAGCTCTAAGATACCAAGAAAACCATAGCTCGGGGAACAACTAATCTCAGTAAACAGGGAGAACCTGGCTAGAAGAAAGCAATTCAGAAGGGAAAGGGAGAGCAGCGCTGATATCAGGACAAGCATCTTAGCTGCGCTGATGTCAGGACAAGCATCTCAGCTGACGATGCTGTGTATGCTCACACCTGAGACCTTCGGCGCTGAGCCATCCAGTGCATCTAAGTACGCTACAATGACCTATTTTCAGAGAGCATGGAGACCATGTCTACTCATCTTATTTGCAGAATTTACAGAAATGTGTAACTCAAAGAATAAAAGGATAAGGTACTAGAAACAACTTACTTTCAGGTTTGACTGTATCATTGGCAACCACATTGGTATGAGCTGTAAGAAGAGAGGTACATTTTGTTATTATACAAGTGACTGTAAACATGCTCCACTTAACGTGAGACAAAGAAGGGTAATCTAATGCATTTAACTGTCCAAATGGACATGGAATCATAGAATCATAGGGTGGCCTAGGCTGGAAGGGACCTTAGAGATAATTTTAATCCAGCCTCCCTGTCACCAAGGACGCCACCTCTCGACTAGATCAGGCAACACAAGGGGACCAAACGGGAATCGAACCCACGACCTTGGCGTTGTTAGCGCCACGCTCAACTGACTGAGCTAACCAGCCCACAGATCTGAAAACGTGGTTATTTTTAAATTATGCATACGTTTTGGGGCAGGTAACTCTCAGAGATAAAGAAGGCAGCCTTGCTTGTTTGTAGCTTAATCAAATATCAGTAGCAATTACTGATACCCTGTTTAAGGCAACAATTAAGAGTATGAAATAAAAACTTGTTAAAGGAAATCATTTCATATTTTCCTTCTGAGTGTGTTTCTGTACGTACAGGTAAGCAGTACTGGAACAAATACAGTATTCGTTCTGCATGGTGAGGTACACAACACAAACTGAAAAAACATGCAGCAGAAGTTCTCAATAGTAGGCCAGATATTTAAATGGTAACCAGCATTTTATAAGCCACTAGTTACATCAGTGCCTCCGTGCAGAATGGGGCCTGTTCACCTGGGAGGTAAAGACACTAACCACTCCAAATGACAAGGAGGTCTGCAAATTTGTCACCCATGATTGGATTGGTATTTATTTCCGTCTCCTGCTCTTCAGAGAACTTTTATTTCTCAGTAAGTATAACAAAACAAGCTTATGAAAGATGAAGAAGCATTTCTAGCAAAAGTATTCACGTAATCCAATATTAATTTAACCACTGAGCTTATTGTTCTAAAATGTTCCTCCAAATGGCATTAAAATTTGCAATTTGCCAATTATGCTGCTGGGAGCTGCAAGTTAAACCTAATCACTATTGACAACATTAGATAAAGTGCTGTTTCCCGTGTGCAAGGAATGATAATTGTTTCCATTTCAATACTGGTTTGCTGGAGAATCATATGCAGTTCTGTCACAACTGATTACTTACTCTACCACATGAGGAACCATTTTCAAACCTCAGCATTTACAGATAGATGAATGCCAAAAGAGCTGGAATGCAGCCAGATGCAGCAGTTCTGAACATTCTTCAGTGGGCTCTCACACTAATGAAGTGCTTAATAAGATTCAGTGACCACAAGTCCTGATGTGAGTTTTTGGAAAGGACGGAACAGGTAAACATACTGAGAAGTCATCCTCCATGCCCCTCTGCTGTCAACAAAATGTCACTGAAAATTCCATCCAGTGTTCATTAATTTCCTGTGGAGCCAGCCAGTGGCGGTAGAACTGCTGTCACGAGAATGTCAAGTAAGGAGGGACACTGGTCAGAAAACTCAGTGTACTCCTCTGCATCTCAACCAAGTCACTGGACACCTTTTACACTCAGCTGAGAGAATCAAGCACTTCTCATACTCAGTTCATATTGTCCCAAAGCAGGTATTTAAGCTACATCAAGATGAATCATGTCGAAAAATACCTGTCTTATCTCCACCGACTATAAAAGGCACTCAGGGAAACAAGCCTATATTGATATCTACACTGTACAAGTCTAAGGTTAGATACAGATCATTGTCCTCTAGTGGCACTTCTGCCATTCAGGTTCTGGACGCATTTAGGGAAACTAAACATTCTGCTGCAGGCACAAGCAAGCAAACAGCTTGCCAAACAGCTAGTTATATAAATGAGACAAGAAGATATTTTTATTGAAGCACTTGAGTTTTATTACCTAATCTCCAGCCAGCCTTCTCTTCTCAAACGAGGAACACACAAAGCTAGTTAGAAAGAACAGCTGGAAGAACAGATTGCTGTCGGACACTGTCAGGTTTTTGGAGTTTGTTTTCAACAGAATTATGTTGATTAAGTGCAAGTTTTGATGGCAATCAGGCTGGAGAACAGGTTGGTTACTGTGCTTTTCTGGCTCCACAGCTCTGCTGCCTGCGCCGTTCTCCAAAAATCTACCCAGCAGTTGTTGGGGTTGCCTAAAACCTCTGGGTCTCTACAAAAGATGCTGCAGTATGCTTAGCTGTTTCCTTCTCTACTGCAGTCTCCCAAATTCCTCAGACATGTATCTGATGGTCAGACAGCGCTGTGATCAGCAAGGAGTTGGTCTCCACCATCAATATGCATCCTGGGATGGCTGGTTTCCCATTTTCTTTGACATAGAAAAACAGGAAGAAAGTGAACACTCTCATTTGAGCCCTCCTAAAACAGAATTGGAATGCTTCCCCTCAGAGGAAAATATAATGAATTAAGTATATATATGCATCTGCATAAATGCATGTGTCTATATATATATATACAAATATATACACATATATATATATATACATCTCACTCCAATCTAGAAAGAAAAATGAATACATAAAGGTTGAAATGTTTTCACAGGGAAGAAACTTTATTTTCCTCATTAGATTAGTAAAGACAGTGTAACATCAGATGAAAAAAATATCCTCTGAGGATACAGGCCTCAAAGTCTATAGGAAGCAAGACATGTCTCAATGCTATCAGTCTGAGTTTAATTTAACAGCAAAGGCCAACAAAGTATAAGAAGTAGGAAACCTCACAGCACAAACACAAGGAGAAGATGAAAGAGTGCTTATATTGGGGATAGAAGCTCTTCTTTCAGTGAAAGAGAGCCGAATTGTTTAATCCTTCTCTTTTGCTGTTGTTTTAGGATGTATTTTCCCCTCGCTTTTCATACAGAAAATGTCCACCTAAGATAGCTATCCCATAAACAGTCTGGCATCATGTGACATGCACCATTGCTTCACTGTGGTAAATTAAAAATATATGTGTGTTGTATCACGCAATGACTTCATTAAGAAATTAAATTTTTACAGGATCTCATTCCTTAGGTGGAATAAAAGACACTGCAGTAAAATTCTAACCATTTATCGTTCATGTAATTATATTATCAGTGCTACTGTGTTCAGTTTCAAGAGGAAATCATTGGGAATTATTAATTTTGCTGAACAAATCTCTGAAATAAGAATGTTCTGTTAAAAAAAATATCTCACTTCACTATGCCCTTTCCTCCAGTGAAAACTAAACCTTGCTTGAAAGGCTTATATTAAAAAAAAATTGAAAAAAAGCTTTAAAGCAGGAGACAAAATTGTTTCATTATCAAAGGCAGGGTAATAAGATTCTCTTGAATAAAACAAGGTACCAAGAAAATGCCCAGTCAACTAATATTCAAAGAATTGTCATCCTTGCAGATTTCTGAAGGAGGAGTAATGAAGTTTAGATCTTCTTCACAGCCACTGAAGAAGACACAGTCTCAAAATTGATATTTTTCTAAATTATACAGATCCCATTCACTTATTTGCTCCTTTGAGAATAAGCTTTACACTTCTACCTCTTTGAAGGACTTCAAATGTACAGTAAGTCTCTCCCAGAATCACTACTTTTCAGATCTACGATAAGTATTTTTAGAATTAGTTAGTTTTGAGGAAAAAAATAGTAGCTTGGGACTACGAATCCTATTACAATATTAGTTATGTATATTAGTTATACCTAAAATTCCTGCAGGATTTCATTTCAGGGCTAAGTAGAGGGGATTTGGTCACGCTGATTCTTTTTTCTCCATCTCCCACCCACTGAACATAAAAGAAAGCTTAGCACCTTAACTCTGAATTTCACAGGTTTATGAGCTTGATTTTGTAGTAACGATGTCCTTTTAACCTGATTCAACATATTACTGATACATGCTCTCAAATATAACTCCCTGAAAGCATTCATTTGAATTGTGACAGGAATTTGGCCCTAAAGGCCTATCTTTTCACAGCTTTAAAGCCATTCTTTATCCTTGTCAAATTCTGGACATGCTGCACTGGCTGAGAGAAGCTCATATGTCTTCCAGGGACAGCCTTGATCACTTTAACATCCCACAGTGAGAGAGTTTCTGCAGTGAATCAAGGCATTGCTGGCTATAAATCTGTATCTTCACAATGCGTGTGAATACTTTCATGCCAGTTGACATCAATTTTAGCTACTTTATTTTCAATTCCTGCTAGACCATAAAAGACTGGAGTAAAACAATAGTCTGAAGCTTCCTTTATGGCAACAGAAGAACTGTATAAACCAACATATAGAATCAAAGTGCATTTAACTACTTGATTTGTTGATATTTTATATGAAAGCTCCCTTCAGAATAAAGTAATGGGAAAACACGTAAAAAAGGATAGTAAAAATTGATTTATGCTTGTGAGAGTACCACAGTCCCAGGGTAGTCTCATAATCTTGTTGAGAGAATACTGTGGTGACCCACAACAGACTGACCACTGATTTCCAAAAAAAGAATTTTACATGAATGGAGCACGGAAAATTTGATTCTCTAACCAAAGAACGCCCGGTTACACATCCTAGGGGAAGATGACTCACTATCAAATAATATTTGAATAAGTCAGACATGTTGACATATGATAGCAAGAAAACCGTTGAGCCATTTTGTTATCAGCCTAAAAGAACACGAGGATCAGAACAGTGAGGTGATCTGCAAAGGGCTGTACCTAGAGGTTCTCAAAGTCAGTGCCACCAGTTGAGTCTGTTAGAGGAATAACACTATTGAAACAGTGGAAGGAGGAAGTAGATCAGAAGTCCATTTTAAAAATAAGTCAGAATTGAATTTGAGATTATGGTTTGGTCTTAAGAATTCTTAACAGAGATTTTATTTTTTGTTATGCTCTACTCGGTTTTATTTCTGCTTTAGCTTCTTTCACTTTTTTGGAGTGGGAGGGGAAGCAGAGGACAATACATCTAGAAATCACAATACACAGGCAACATCATTAACAAAATATTCATAGTGTGGTATGCCTACCTTTACAAAGATAGTAGAGTTGCATTCCTGTAAAGCCTCCATTAAACTAATCACATGCAGGCACACCATTTCCACCATCTTGGGGGGAGAAAAGAAAATCAAACATAAAAAATTAGTGTCCAGCGCAAGAGTATTATTGTAAGCTAAGTCAACAGTCTCTAAAAAGAATCCTGCTTTTGCTTGGCAGTTATAGTGAATCACTAGACGTGCATTGACAACTGACACATAAGATTCAATATTACACGAGCGCATAAGGGATATTTTTCTTTGCTTAGTTTTCCCCTGATGAGGCAACACCTTTATGTTAAATATTTGAAAGCACTTGATGTATTTAAATGTGTATCACACATCAAAACAAGTTGCCTTCAGCTTCGTTCTTTTCAGACATCATAAATCCTGTTATATGCCTTTGCTGTGTAGTTCTCATTAATCAGTGTGTCAGAAATTGGTATTTTTATTTACTGAATCTTTGAAAATTAACATACTCACAAAAGCCATATTTTTTTTGCCCTCCCATCAAAAGATAATTTATTGTTCTGAACTGGCAGCTAGTCTGTAATTCCTCCATTTTGTACAATGAATTATGACAGATGCAAATATCAGTTATCTGGTAGTAGATAGCATTTTATGGTTTATATCATGTAAATTTATAGGTACAAGACAAATACCCTGAGCCAGCAGTGAGTCTGAACTATGTGTTAATTCCCCTCAATAATAATAAATTTTGCTTTTATGTGGTGCTTTTCATCTTCAAAGTGCTTTACAAACACTAACTAATTAACCTCACAACACCCCTGTGAGACAGGCAAGTATTATTATCTACATTTCATAGAGCAACAGCTGAGGCAGAATGTTTAATAACTTGCACTAAAGCCACATAATGAGATACTTTCAGAATAAGAATTGGATCTTCCAGGTCATATTCTTGTCCTAAGGCTAGAGTGATAGGATGAGGGGAAAAGGATCCAAATTGCGCCAGGGGAGGTTCAGGTTGGATATTACGAAGAATTTCTATACTGAAAGGGTTGTCAGCCATTGGAACAGGCTGCCCAGGGAGGCAGTTGAGTCACCATCCCTGGAGGTGTTTACGAGATGGTGGATGTTGTGTTGGGGGGGAATTGTTTAGTAGGTTGATAGGGCTGGGACAAAGGCTGGACTTGATGACCTAGGTCTCTTCCAGCTGATATGATTCTATGATTCTAAGAAGACTTTGTGTCTAGTTAGAAGCATTTTGCACGTTTCCCATTCATTCAAATGGAGCTTCATGAACTACTGTTCCAAATAGTGGCTTGTCAGCCACGGAGAATTCACCTAGATGTCAGGTATTCACCTAGATGTAGGTGGTTCTTGCCTGATATGGACAAGACAAAAGGGAACACTAAGTGGTTCAAAGACATTCAAGTGCAGGCCATGCAATTACAACTGAAAGGTCCATAACCTGCCTAGGGGAGATGTTTAACATGGGGAAAGAGGAATTATATAAAATAATTTCTATATAGTTAGCAAGCCTACATTTTAAAAAGAAAGATAAAAAAAAAGCACACCAAAGAATTAAAATCCTAAGCCTTAAGAGCATCTGACTTAGAGAACTGAGCCATGTATAAAGAATCTTTCTCACTCAAAGCTAGTATCAAGTTCTCCAGAGCCAGAGCTACTAGTTACCGTCTCAGATAAAGTCAAGAAGTTACAAGTCGTCATGACAGACTTGTCCTGACTTTCTGGGAAGCACAATACATCTTGCCTATCAGAAACAAGCCTGCAGGTATGGGTAGCAAAGGTAGCACCTGTAAGAAGGCTGCTGGAACCCCACGGAGTTCTTATTGTACAAAGCTGCTCCAACAGTAGCGAGTAACTGGGACAAATAAATGCCTAAAAGTTATTCCCAAAAAATGGTCTGGACGATTCCTGGACAGAGTGAACATTTCCCTTTCAAACTTTTATCTCTGGAGGTACCTCCTTCAAGTTATTCATTAATCTAAGATGTTTTGTGAAATATTTACGTAGCTTATTCTTGATGAGTAACCAATGGTTATGAGCAGTCAAGTGTCAGCATTTGTGTATTTTTTTACCATCACATGGTAAACAATAATCAAATGGATATTCACAGAATTATCCTGAAATGCTTAGCAGCACTTAGTTAAAGCAATCAGATGAAGCAAAAGGACCATTTTGAAGGGCAGGAAGATATATAAAATGAGTCCTGATGCAGGGAGCCCTTAATCCAACAACCAGTGACTCCAGCTCCTGATTCTGTTTTCAGGTAGAACCTGGCTAGGTCCCGTTTCAGGCTCACCGTGAGCTTAAACCACTACTGATTAGCTTTCCCTTGAATTTCTCAAAAGCATCAAAGTTGCTTAATGACGTTATTCATAGTCCGATGTATTCCACTGAAACAAAGCCAAGCTCTCCAAGTTAAATCTCTACTCAACCTGCACGCAGCACCTGACTTACCACTTTGTTATGTGCCATCAGCTGCAGGATGCTCGGTGTCACTCTGCTCCAGAACTCCAGGGCTGTAAGGATTGCTGTAAAGCTAAATTCGTTCTGATTCTGGACTGTCGGAGCTACTGCTGTTTGTTCACAATAAACTGTCCAGAGCTGAGCAAATATGAATGCATGGAAGAGGGAACACATGTGCAGAACAGATGTCTGTAGAAACAGAAAATAGAGCAAAATGTTTATTTAAACAAATGCATTGGGAAACACTGCAGAGACTTTTATCAAAGCACTACTCGGTCACGCATCCCACTGTGCAGTCTTGGCCCTCACTTTCAACATGTTTCCCTCCTATTAGAAACCACTAAGTTAAGTATGCTTGGTAACATCTTCTCCGTGTTTAAAAAATGTTTTAATATTTACAGACTAAAATTTGAAAACAGACACTCCCATGCAATCTTAGCATATGACATTAAGATCAATCCCTTTAAAAAGGTTAATTTTGCAGTACTGCTACTGAGGACAAGTTATGAGACCTTCCTGATGGAAACTCGACCGCAATCTGTGGAAGGCCTGGAGGTTCTGACATGCACAACTGCATCTCAGAAATGCGGCTGGAGTAAGTCATTCAGATTCTAAATATCTGAAAGGAAGGCTATCATACAAAATACATCATCTTACATCTTTTCTGTTAATCTGTCATACATTTCTACCTTGCTGGGACAGAACAGCTCACAGTCAAGGAAAATAAGTTTTGAAAAGTTAACAGAGAATTCATTTTGCATATTCAAGCATGGCTCTTTGCTAATACGTGTTAAATATCACAGTGACCGAACCTCCAGGCATGCTAACTACTTCACTGAGAGAAAGGTGCTTCTGGTCAGAGATGTCGTCTCAGTTTGCGAGTGCAACAGTGATTCCTGCTCTGTGACAGTATGACTGTACCAAAGACTGTAATGGTTGCTCAGTAACTGGAAAGAGGTAATTGAAAGAGCAAAAAGAGGCCAAAGAAATTAATGGGAAGCACTACTGTCTTGACTGGATGAAGGCAAAGAAAGGAGGATTATACATATAAGATAAATGTGTGATCACCCTGATTCTGTTGCTCATAAAAACCTGGCTGGTGTCAAAGAGCGCTGCTATATCTGTGTTAAACTACTGTCACAAATGGCTTACGATTTGCAATAACTCCTCTTGTCCAGAGCAACTTGAGGGGGAAAAAAGTGTGTTTGTAATTATCTTTTGATCATAACATTGTTTATGGGTTATCTAATTCTACTATAAAACAAGAATAAATAATTGAGATTTGCTACAGAGATGGTCATTGCTAAAACTTCAATTTGGAATTCAGTTTTTCCTTCCTTGCTCTTGCGCTGAGATATTTTGAAGCAGCTGAATCTCAAGCTCAATTGTAGTGATTTCATCCCAAGTCTTCTCTGTGTGAAGAGGCAACTATGCAAGAAAAACGACAGAGATTTCTTTCTCTAGATCCCAGGTTTCAATAAGGTTTTTTTAAGTAAGCATTTGCAATAATAATGCAAATATATAACACATCTCCACTTAAAACACAGAATCCCTTACCTTTGATTGCTCTGGAAACCCAATCAGAATAACAATAAGGTGGTCAGCAATTTGTGAACCCGCATCCAGTGGAATAGGCATGCAAGATGATGAAGAATTTGGACAGACAACATTGTGTGTCAGAGACCCCAGAAGTAGCCAGGACAGCAAACGAATGTGTGAGACACATTCTATGAACTCTTTGGGCCTGTCAAGAAAGAGTGGATTTTACAATGATGCTAAGTTTTCTGATTTTCCCCAAAATAACGGAGTCTCCTGCACACTACGCAGATGCAGTCTCAGTGTACTGGAGGCAGAGATCATTGGTACAGCTGATGGGAAGACTGGAACCACACAGAACTTATTGGACTTGACATACAATTAACAAGTCCCACAGCATATTGGGCGGCTTAAAAGGCTAAAACACTCACAGACTCACTGGTTCCATACACGATCATTTTTAACACACAGGTCATCGGATGGGATGGGTTGCCCAAGTGGAAGTGCTCCTCTCGGCTCCCTTGCACAGCACATAGCTGACAGGGCAATGGCAGGAAATTCCTTGTTCCACAGCAAGCTCCGAGGCAGGTACCATGCCTTACTTCCACTGTGTTCCACTCCTCCACTGGTAAAGTGGAGTTAATTTCTCTTTCCCAGGCCATTTAAACTGCATGCTTTTGAGGGCAGGCACTATGCTTTTTTGCGACACTTATGTATTCATCCACCATCTAGTGCAACATCTAATTGTAAAGCAATGTGATTATATAACCTGAGAAGGAGTAACACTTTTCCGATGTCACCTTGTCTGTCCCCTTGCTGCTACCAAGTTCAGATTACACACTCATTTGAATTCATGGGCACAGGAAAAAAAATAATTGTCTTTTGATCAATAGATCACTCCTTAATAGGCCACTCTCACTGCTCTTTGTAATTTCTGATCTGATGTCATTGTCAAGGACTTATAGCACTAGAGAGGCATTCTATTAATTTATTTTTATTTTTTTTAAATAGACTCTGATAGATGCTCTTCCTCAAGTACCTGTAGGGTCTTAAAGGAATTCTCTACCTTCACCTCAGAACACAAAGTCCCTCTTTTACATGTAAGAAACTAAAGCGCAAGGAGACAACAACTCCGTATTTCTAAAACTAGACATGCTCTACATGGAAGTGCATGCAGATTTATCTATGGGACTGAAGTCTAAGCAGGTTAGTTCCCAAAATCCCGGGGTAGGTAGTCAGGGACAAAGCTGGGACAAGAATGCAGTTTTATTGTAACACAGTTCAGTGGTCTACACTCAAAATACCTTGTTTGTTGTCATTGTGAGACAAGGGAGAGTATTTCCCTTCTTTTTGAAGATAAAACACTGTAGATTAGGATTACTCACAGTGAAAAGGGATAAGAAATATGTATTGAAGAGCAGGATTTCTCTCACCTAACTTTAACCAGATGAAGTTAGTGTTGTTTTCCTCATACCAATAGTTTTCACTCACTGGTATTCCATAATTTCAAAGAACATTTCTTATTGTATCCTCCATAATTCCCAACATGTTTTCCTATAATTCCAGGACTGATCAAGTATCCACATGCTTTTCATGGATTGAGAATGAAGTTAATTTCCAGGGTAACTCCAGTCAAGCCAATGGAGTTGACAATGGATGTGACAATGTCCCATTGGCACATACTTTAAATATTGCACTGATGAACTCCTCAGCTAAGGATCAGGGAGGTGCTGACCAGCTGTTTCAATGTTCCATGCCTGTCATTCCCTACTATGAGTCTCATCTATGGAATCTGGCAATCAACACAGAATTTTGTGAAGATTCCTAATTCATTTTAGCATTCCTTTTTGCATTCTCACCCTTGTTGCATTGCAGACGGAGGATGGTAAAGCCAAGGCAAATATCGGATCACGGCTTTGTTGTCTCTGTGGTTTCCCCGGGTAATTTCCATAGCCGCAATCTGAGCTAAACCAACTTTTAGATGTCCACCAAACGTGTCTTCATGCAGTGGCTGAGAACAAGTCTTCATGTGACTCTGCAAGGCAAAGATCTGATTTCCTACCCGAAAAGGAGTGTTTCACTTAAATTAAGTTCTTCCAAACAATAGCATATTCTATCTCATTTCCCTTCAATTCTCTTCTCAGGGTCTCTAACCCTGTCTACAAAAGTATGGAACAAAACTCAGAAAGAGATTTTAAAAAATTCTCCGGTCTCTGTATTAGTAACAGCTTTACGGCGCAGACCTTTCCACAGAGGGGCCACACTTTCAAGAGCCCCCACAAAATACGAATTTTGCAAAATGTACCTTTTGTATCAGCAAACTCAAGAGCTGATGAATGTAAACTAATGGTTACACATACACACAGACTAAGTGAAGGTGAAAGAATCTAACCATTTAACAAAACAGCATCTGGGCAGGAAATGTCTTCCCTCTACAATATTCAATTTACTTGTACAGAAAAGCTGTCACTCATTCACCAGCAATATGACTATGTTGCACTATTTTTAGCCCTGGAAATAAAAGGGCTAAACCTTTTACCAAGAAACATACAAATACTCACACCCGGAAAGATAAATTATTATCCTGCTTTGTCAGCTCTTAAGAAATGTTTCACCAGTGATTCTCAAGACACTTCTATATTTCTAATTAAGCTAACTTTGCATTATCTTCCGTAAATAGCTCTCCTTTAAGCAAGCAAATGCACTCAGCATGTGTTCTGTAACCAAGCCATATGCTTTGCACAAGAAAATCCAGGTCATCAGTTATTGAATTATTATAACAGGATAAAAATCAGTGGACCAATAATATTTCATAACAGATAAATATCTGACCTCAGCAACTTACACTCTCAAAAATCACTTATTTGAAATCTCTTTCAAGAGGGGGGGGCGGGGAAAGTACCAGCATAAATAGCTAATAACTTAGTTATAAAGCCAGGCAAAAAGGATAGACAGGTATGCAGGCAGATACATTGTACTTCCTCCAAAATGGTGGAATTTTATAAATAAAAGCGTGCTGAGCTTTACCAATTAAAATGTTATCCCAAAGGAGAAAAAAAAAGATAATAAAATGAACAGAAACAATAAACTGGAATGTGATTATCCTCAGAATTAACATTTATATCTTTTTTTACAATGCAGTAATTGCTCACAGGCAGGCCTGAAAATAATCAACCTCTTTGAAAGGAACTATTCTCAGACACGCAAAATAAGACATTGGAACTGTACAAACAATCTCAAATATTTATATTCACTGATTTTTTTGCACAGAGTAGAAATTTCTGAATTTAAACTTTTGCTGTTGGGATTGTTACTGGTCATATAAAGCATTCTTTGTGTTAGTTTGGTAAATCCAGACGCTATCGGTAACACATAGTAATAAACTGTACAACCAGGTAATCTGAGGACTCACTTCCTAGGAACATCTCTGTTACTAAAACCCAAGCAATATTAGTAAATATATGAAATGAACTTACAAGCATTTGAATCTAGATGTTGTGCACTTGTTTAAAGTTCCAACTATCTGTAAACTTAAAAACACTTACAAATGTATTTCCAGCTAATGTGGGAACCACAGAATAAGTTTATCTGGTCTGGTTAAATAACAACTGCCTTTTCATTTTCTGAAGACTGTAAAAGCTTATTCTTTACAATACATAAAATTGCATTGACTCTTCTATTATGCAATCTTGTTCCCAGATACCTGTATTACATGGCTAGATCAAAACACCATGAAATATTAGACCACTTGGTTCTGATTTAAATGGCCAGACTATACATGTGGAAAGCTTCTTGTCTAATTTCAAAACATAAAAATGAAGAATTGGGTAGAGTTTTAGTTCTACCTATATCTGTGTAAAAAAAATAAATAGTCCTAATGAACATAAGAAATTATCATTTTAGCAGACTTAAGCATTTTAAGAGCATTTCTAAAAATCATACTACAGTTCAAGGGAGAAGGGGCAGAAGGAAAAAGTGCAAATGGCAGAGAGCATTCTACAGAAACTTTTACACAGGACACTGGATACCTGCAAGTAATTCTAAATATTTTTCCCATTTCTGGCTTCAGTAATTTTGTGGTTTTCTGTGGAACTGGCAAACCAGATGTATCTCTCCCTCATTTATGATCAACTTACCTACCCATTCTGAAAGCAGTTCTGAACTGTCAGAGAAATGGGTGAAGTACAAGATAGGTGCTTTCCCTCTACGAAAAAAGATCTTAACAACCAAAGTTTCATCTCCAGGTCAATGCTCACTTAATACTCAGCTTCAGATGGTGCTGTCCCTATCGGGATAGTGTTACACTAAATCGAATAAATATTGCCCCCTCCACGGCTTTATTAATGACTATTAGTGATGTAGTAATTCTTTATTTAAGCTATCAACACTACTACTTTGCTACCAACTGAAACAGTTACAATTCTATTATTTCCTATTACAAAGCAGCAATGTTAGTTAGTCTAGTTTTTTTCTAAAACATCTAAAAGAATTTCCATTTTTTAGGATATTTAATGGATAGTGGCTTCCCCCATGAAACAGAAATTCCAGGTTTTGACAAACTAATTATTACTAGGATGTTTTCATTAAATTAATTCTTAAGTACAATGTTTTATGTTGCCAGAAGTATTTTCCTATCACTCCTTTTACAGTCTGGCATCAAACTAACGTACAGAGACCAAAAAGCAGTTTGGACTACGGAAGTATGAAATTCTCAGCCTTCCCCATCTGGACAGATTATAAACCTGACAGTGAAAACAAGAACATCCATAAGAAAAAAGACATCCTCCTTCCCCTTTTTTTTAGGTCAATTACTGCATTCTTATAACCTCTGAACTTGCAGTTAACTTGAGTGTCTGTTTGTGTATATGAAGAACAAGATTCATCCAGAAGAGTATAATTACTTGTACAGACAAGAAGTTTTATGTTTCTGTGTTTTATATTAAACATGACTACTTCTCACAGTGATTTGGTATGACATTAGCTTATCATCAGCATTTCAGAAAACTTATCATTAGCTTATCATCAACATTTGAGAAACATCAAGCCTGCATTTTTACTGTGTTCACTATATTTGAATCAGACTCCCTTTCAACACTGCATAAGCTACTTTTTACTGATCTCTCAGAAGTGTCTAATCTACGGCAGTACATTTTTTTAAAAAAAGAAAGAAAAAAAAAACAACTGTCAGTCATCCTCGAAGACTTCCAACCATTTCTCCCCGGCAAGTTCATTACCAAAACCATATTTTGTTAAGAAAGCACATACACTTCAGATTAACGTATGCCCAGAACCAACCTTTAATTTGGTTAAGGTATGCATATCTGCAATGAAATCCAGCACTTCCCCAACGTATTGCCTCATGCATTCCATTGCTGCTGTTCCACACTAGAAGATAAAAGAAGTAAGTTTAAGCACCAGGCTTTGAATATGTTCATGTTTTTGTCTTTGTTACTTGTTCACCAGAAGACAATTTGTCTGTCTCTAATTCTTTATTCTACTTTTTAGTCAGATTAATTAGGAATAGGCATTCTTTGATGTTTTTCTTCTCACTGTAATATGTCCTCTTATCTGATGATAGTATAAAAAGAGAGCCCAGTCGTAGCTTCATGCATCATAAAATACTCCTGTCTGTGACAGCTATGAAAAATTAACTAATCAAACTTTCAAGAATAACCTTGCCATGTCTTCCTGAAATTTACAGTGGTCCAGAATCAAAGTCTTGAAAAGTCGATGAGAGGTTAACAACTCAGTTCTTCAAGCAGCTGAGTATTTCTGCACCAACCAGCTACAATGTCAGAAAACAGAATTCACTCACAGGTGCAAATTCTCTTGTGTTCACCTTAATCATGATGGAAAAATAGTTTCAGTGACTAGTTTCAGCTATTTTATCTGTAAACAACAGTAAAATGAACATCACTGAATTTTTAAAAAAAATTTATTTTTTTAAACTAACAAATGTTTCTGGGATATTCCTGAAGTAAAATCATTCAAAATAACAGCTTTCTAACAGCATAGAAGCTAGTTGCCATTTTCAAGAGGGGAGGCAAAGACTATAAGGGCTAAATGAAATCCTTCATGAACTGCTCCAGTCTGAAGGCGTAAGCGCTGAGAAGCCACCTGTGCCAGAGCAAGAATGACCTCAAAGGGAAAACAAAAAGACTCATTGTGGTGCTTGTTGTATTCCCGCAGTACAGACTTTCATAATCGTTTTCCTAGAACACAGTGAGAAATGTAAATCTTGCCTTTGGCTAGTACAAGATGTGCCCAAGGTGCGCAAAGCAGTCAACAGAACAAAGCTGTCAGATTAAATAAAGGCTTTGAAAAGACCAGAGAACCCTGGAGAGGAGCTTTCAGAAGGTGATATGACTGACCCCCTAGGTATCATATAAACTTCTGTTTACACATTAGTAGTCTGAGGCAAAGATCACGCTAGCTGAATTCAAGGAGAACTATGAATGTCTCATCCTGAGGAGCTAAGTAAAAACAATGCTTAACTTTTAAGGCTTAATGAGGGAATTATTAAGTTAGGTATCTTTTTGAAGTTGCCAAAAACTAATGTATCCCAAGTCATAGGCTCAGGGCAAAACATTGCAGTAAACTTCACAGGGGTAAGCTACTCTTCTTTGACCTCTATGTAATTACCCACGCTTTGAACCACAGAAGCTGACTACCTTATCTGATTATACAGATGAACAAGATTTAATTTTGATCACAAAATTACTAAGCCACAAACGAGTTTTAGTGGCTGAAGTTTGAAAAACTGCTAGCATTCTATTCCTAAGCAACTGACTTGGGCACTTCTCATTTTTGTATGTTACCATCAATCTACACAGTGTTGTGCTATGCCATCTTTTGGCTTTTCAAATGCTCTGCCTGTCAGTTCCCTTGACAGAATAACAAACACTAAAACAAGGTCACTGGCAGCCCCGTCAGCACATCCTCCATCCAGTTTTTGCGGACTAGGAATTCCACATGGGTCCTAAAATGTTGCATAACTGAACTATAAAAGATACTATAATCAGAACTAGGAAAATAATGCTCAGTTGCAAAAGGCTCCTCTCCAACCATCTATTCAGTTTCATTCAAGCAGCACACAGTCTCATTCTCTGATTTCCTCTGAAATTATTATTGCTTTCCTATTACACTTTGTAACACCTGCAGTTATTTAAAGCAGGTATAAATTAAAATCTTCTGTTGGGAGGAAAGATATTATTAAAGATTTGCATTAAAAAAAAAAATTCACACACTTCAGGGAAAAACACACATGACAAAGATCCTATTAGGTCACTCCTACAGCTGACAGACACACACATGCAGGGAACAAGGTTTCCTTGGCTTATGAAGCAGACCTGAGCTAACTCTCCTCCATGGGATACTTGGGTACTCGGTTGCATGTGTCATGGAACAAGTCAAGACTTCCAACCATGCTGCTTCCTCACACACTCACCCAGTGCATATTCAGTGCCCAGGCAACTGAGTACTGGTAATTTGGCCTCGGTCATCAGCAGGATATAGATGAATGCCTTACACACTATCAGAAAATTAACTCCCTTCTTAAACCATTCTTTTGTAAGAATGGAAGCAATGGCTAGTAGCTTGCCTCTCTGCTATTACTTTTTGAGGCATCCAGCTGGTCTGTTCCCCACGTGTTGTCTTCTTGAGCACAGGCTCCAGCTAAAGTCAGCTACATGACTAAAGATTATCAGTGATAGTAAGGGAAGCAACATAAAGTTCAGAACTTTTCCAACATTAATAAAAAGGAAGAAGCATCTCAACCTCTGACTACAATACACCTTGCCAACCAGAACAGAAACGGAAAGGAAAGAACATGAAAATGAAGCAAAAATGAGCTGAATAAGGTACATACTAATTAAACTCAAAACTAAGACGTGGAGTTTGATTCAGTACTTACTCCAGGCATAGAGGCAATCATCTGTTTATGTAAGATCGTTGACTCAGCTAGTTTTGTTCCAGCATCTGCACAAACAAACTAAGAAGAAATTGAAGACAAGTTATTTTTTTACTAATTTTAGAGGAACCTGAAGACCCTAATAAGTTATTAATAACTTTGTTACAATCAGTTCAGATCTCTTCTTGCTTTTATTCATGGAAATTCGCCTTTAGAGCTTTCTTTATAAACAACATAGTTAACTCACCATTATAAATGAGCTAATTTCAATCAAAAAAAACACCCTGACTTTAATGTGCTTAACTAACACATATATGCTGCACAGGAGAAATTTGAAAAAAATCATATAATAAATCAGACTTTCTTCATAAGCAGAAATATTTATCTTTGCTATTGCTTGCATATATCAGATGTCCCTCTTTCATTATACAGTAAATCGTGGTAGAGGAAGATACGGCAGCACGCCACCTTCCTCACTGTCATTTTCACTGAAGATCTACAATGATGAATTACATGAAAAATTTTTAACTTGAGTTCTCAAGTTAAAATACCATACTGGTATGGTGTGGTATGACTTCTGTATAATACAGGCCACTGCAAAAATACAAGCTGTTTCTAAGAGGTCAGTGTCATTCTGGTTTAGTAGACTATCTGTAACTGCTTTTCTTACGCTTTAATTTTTTCTTGCTTTTTTCTTTTTTTTTTTTGCTGCTTTGTATTTCTAAATCCCTTGACCCAAAATCTCTGATGTCCACATTATTCATACATTACACCTACTAATACTGTTATTTAATCATTATAAGCTTTGATAATGCATGGGACATCCTGCAGATGATTTCCTTATTCCTAAAACTTGTTGTCCTAATCCTGTATTTTCACTTGAGCAATTTCTGTCCCTGGCAATGCAATGCAACTTTCTAAGAAAGAGTAGAGAGAAAAGAACTGTCAAACTAAGGTCTAAGCCTTAACTGTCTTACCTGAAAATTAATACCACGGTACCTTCATAAACTGAGACAGATATTGACTATGTAATATATTTTACAGTTGTCTGATGCATGTGTGTTAGCAGCACTCTCAGAAACTGACAGCTCTTCCAAATGTACTTTATAGACCTAGAATTTACTCTTACACTTCCATGAGCTTTACCTTTCAATGATAGATTTAATCTAAACTTACCAAGACTTGGAAACTATGCAGCCTGTGTCTTGACAAAAAGTCTGTTCTTTGGGATAAATACTAGAAAGACATAACTGCGTTTAGATTAATAATTTAATTAGGTATCCTCAGACACTGGCCTGGCTTCAGTTGACTCTTCTTATGGTTAGAATTTATTCTACACGAGAATAAGCCAAATGGAAACAAAACAGGAATCTAACTCATATTTCAATTGAGACGTTGCCTAGTGTTCTTTTGTACCACAGCTCTAATAATTACATGGGAAGCAAAAGAAAGTCTCAGGGTTATGGGCTGTATCAATCCAGAGTCTTAGTTCAAACAGCAACCACGACTCTCGTTTTTAAAAGAAGGACCACTAATAGACTTAGGCAAATAGACGATAGATTTACTCCCTCTCTCAGAAAGAGCAATGCTCGATGCTAAGTCCACTGGAAAAAAGATATGTTGTTTTACTGTGTGAAGGATTTCTCGGTCAACTATTTGTGTGTAGATTAGGCTCCCTTGTACTATATTGGCTGCAAAAAAGGACCACAATTCCCTGCAGAATGTGCCTGAGTATATTTAGTATCCAACAGTGAGTTCAGTACGCTGCTACAGACATTGTACATCAGTACAATTAGTCAACAAAAAACCCTTGCCAAAGACAAATGTTATTTATTTCAGATAACATTTTTTTAAGAACAATAAGAAGAAGTAACCAAAGCAACCTCTGCTTGCCCGCTGTAAGTTTTCTACATCTATTGCACAGAAGAGTTTGGCTTAAATAACACATATGAATTTATGTGTGAAAAATAGCTGACAAATTCCATTCTGTTTCTAATGAATTAGGTCTTGTTTTACTTCTCTTTCTGATCACCAGACCGCCAGTTCCAAGGATCCTTCCCAAAGCTGCAGTGCAGTCAAACGAGGATGGGGAAACCAAACTCAAAATGAAAAACCTCTTACATTACCAGCCCAATTCATTGTCATTTATGTTGTCTACCTCTACAAATACTATCATACACTAAGATGTCACCGGCAAGAGATTTAATGCCAGCCATGGATAAAGAAAAAGGAAAGAAAAATAGCCCCACACTGTATAAAGATGAGAAACCGGCAAATAACTGACATGCTTCTTACTAGCATGTCTGCTGAGTGTAGTGAATTATCTATGTATCATAATCTATACTCTACCTCCACTCATAATCAGAGTTTTTAAAATACATATTCTTGTAAATGTGTTATATGTAGCTTTAAATCCTTCCATTCAGTAATTAGTAGATCAGATCTTCACAAAAACATGAAGTGGAATCACTAGATATACACTGATTTGCATTACTTGAAGGTCTGGCACAAAATAGGAGTCACCGAAACAGAACCCATCCGATACACTGAATCTTAGAACCCGACTGAAGAAACAAATCCTAATGAGAAAATAATATAATCTGAAGTCACTGGAAACCATGAAGATGTGTGCTGGTGAAATGTGAGTGGGAAAAACGTACTGGGAAACCAAATGCTGGGTGAAGAAGCAGTTCCTATGGAAACCCATGAAACAGCAGCATGTACATGATGGCTTTCATTTGCTAGGACAAATCAAAGAGACAGACCTTCCGAACCATTTACCACCCGGAACACCTATACAATGATTGGGGTGATCTGGTAAAAATTGCCATTCTTAGTAAAGATAAAGTCAGCTCTCATCTTAGCATTGATGTCATCAGTGGCACCAATAGCACCATGTAACGTGGATGACTGTGGGTGTCAAATGTACTTTCCTAGGAACACCTTTGTTAGTCAGCCCACGACTGATCTATCAGTAAATTAATGTACTCCCACCTCCTTTGTTGTCTCAAACACTTTGACTGAATCTCTGTATTCCGTGTGCACCGCCTGTACAGAACCTTGTATATAAGCTAACACATCCATGGAGACGTGACCATTTCCGTGTGGTGCTGTGTTAATCCTACTGTAGCTTTATGATTCAAAATCATACCATTTGAATTAATATTGCAGTGGCTTTGTGTGCTAGGGGTGAATTGATCCATTCTAGCAATGACACCAAAGAAAATTAAAATAATCAGATACATTATGTGTTTTTACTAGTAGGTTTCTTAAATTACAATGGTGCTTAAGATAGGCTTAGCGGTTACTATGGTATTTAAATGCAAGAAGCTGTTGAATGATTCAGACCACATACTACTGAGGGCTGCCAATTTGCACAGTCAATGGGAGAAGCAGTCATCATGCTTCCAGTAGGCATCTATGGCAGATGGTCTGAATACAACCCCTATTCTTCACCACTGACTGCATAAAAACAGAAGCTGGCTGCTTTGGATAGCAGGAAATATGAATCACTTCATCAGCCTCTGAAAGGGCAACATCATAAAAGACACTTATATCCACATTAGGTGCTGTTGTTTAAGGTATGAATGTATCCCAAAGAGAACGCAGCACATGGGAACAGCGTTAGGAGGAAAATCCAGGCAACTATTGGTTTATCTTTATGAGAAAAAGATAATGTAAGAGAGAGTTTTGCTTACTGTGTCTATCAGGCGACTGACTCAATGTGACAGACAAGTGTTTACCACTTGCCAAAACTGTCGTGGTATGTTTGCATTCTCAAACAAGGAACTCAGGATTGACTAGACTGTGGGACTGTCATCCTTTGGGGTAGCCATAGGACTGAGCTATACAGTGGAGGAATGCAGAAGAATTGCTTTACTCTGTAATACAGGAAAAATCAGTTCAAGTCAACAAACACTGATGCACATGGCATCAAGCTGTACCATTGCACTCATAAGATGGAAAGAGGTTGGTGGTTGTTAAAGCATTATGAATGATCCATGTAATGAACATCTTGCCTGAACCTCATGGAGTGCTGCCACGTTGGTCTCCTATCATTTAAAGTTTAAAGTTACTATAATAGTTAGCTCCAACAATGGTTAGGTCAAACAACGAGAGCCTACTACCTGTGATTAAAACTGATGGACTGGAGTAATCGTTTTTGCAGAACTGGCTTGTGGCACTCTGGAGGTAGAAAGATTTTTCACAAGTTTGTATCTTACTTCCTCAGATTTTTCTATGAAATAGCTCACTTAACTCCTAGCTCAGCAATTCACAGAATGAAAAGAACAGAAATATTGCCTGGAAAATTCCATGTTAAAAGAGTCCCCTTTAGGGACCGAAGACAGCTCACTGTCTGCCAGAATAGACAGAAACTGAGTTCTTGCCCGTGATCAGCTAACACCCCTTTCCACCCAAACTGCTCACTGGTTTCGATATGAAGACAGGCCAGCAGCTGGAGCAGCTGCTGCACTGGGACACAATATGAAGCTCAGTGGAATGGATCCTTACGGGTCCCTTCTACTCAAGATACATTCTATGATCCTCAATACATCAGCAAAGATGCACAGGTCATCATCCTGGGAAATGGGGATTTCCAATTTAGTATCTTAAATTTTAGTGTAGGAGTCTAAATGTATGCACATACGGTTACAAATGTAACTGGATTTTGATTAAAAAAAAAAAAATCTTGCTTGCTCGGACATTGCTGGTGCTTTCTGTAAGCATGTGAGACTTACTGATCCTGTCTTGGCCCAAAAAGGAAGCACGAGAATTGCATGAGAATCTCCTGTACCTGCACCAACAGCAGCAGATTCATGTCTGGTAATGGTGACTTCAACTTGAGTGCCTGCAGCAACTCCAAGATGACACTACGCGTCAGGTAGAATTTGTCCCTTTCCTACAACCAAAAAAACAGAATTATGAATGTCCTGAAATTCACTGATACCCACTAGTAAATCATAAAGATACTTTTGATCTAAGTTTGAGAACAAAGAAGTTACAAAAGCATACTGGTCTCTCCTATTTCACAAAAAAAAGCAGGCATCATTCATCATTTATGTAATTCTACAGATGTGATTGAACAGGCATCAGTGAGGGTGATTCTCCTTTGACGCTGTATCAGGCACTCTATCCAAGATTTTAGTTTTTTTACACATGAAATATAGATAGATTTTATAAAACAGTTATATAAAGTCCAAGCATGCAGTGTAGCTTTCACTGTGTAAGTGGTTCCATATAAAGGGAAAAGGAGAAAGCATTAAGGATTGACATATGAAAACAAAACTGCCAATAGTATTTAGCATTATTCTTTCATTAATCTTGCCAGAAATAGTCTGCATTTTACCACACTCTTTTTTTTCTGTTGTCATCTCCCTTAAAATATGGGTGCCTGCACTAAGGCAGTTTGGATATCTATTTTCATTCATTAGGCTAGCAGTACTTTTCCACACAATAAAAAACATCTTGGCTATGGCTGCTTCAACAGAAACATTTTAAAACATTGGGGAAAATCAGCCAATGGAGATTAGAACAGAGAAACCTAAGAATAGAGTTGCAGAGTGGAGGCAGTAAGGAGGTACAAGAGATAAGATAAGCCTGTTACACATCTTACTTGGACATTCTCTGACTTTAGAGGATAAGATAAAAACGTGGAACAAATCTATAACCCGCTACTGACCACAGCAGGAAGACTTACACTGAGCTCTCTTTCAAATGACAATCAGAGATGAAATTATATTGTCTAACAAAGAAAACATATCCAAAATGTAGTTTAGATTTAAAGCCTCATATCTTCCATTTGTAAATCTCACGCACTTTCCTACTTAAATGTGTGGAGACTTTTACTCAGTCAGGGACTCATTTTTTCTGTGACATCTGTCAAATAGGATAATAATGTTCGCCTCTTTCTCAGAGAAGTCTTGTGAAGTTGAGTTAGTGAGGGTCCGTTTGAAGGCCACCTCCAGCTGCACACGGCAGAAGTGCAGCTAAATGGGAAGGAGTTGGAGGAGACCAGTCACTGGAAGCGAGAGGAGCTTTGGCTGCAGCAGACCAAGGTGGCAGTCACCAGGATTCCTCCTCAGAGAACTGATGTCACCTCACCCGTATCTGCACAGCACGCTGCCAACAAAACAACAGGGCACGTCTCCCATAGCACTTGCCTACCCTTAGTTAAAGCACATTTTAAATATCATTCTCTGATTTGGTAGAAGGTGCCAAAACAACAGAATGGTATGTCTTTCGCAGACGTTATGATGCCAGTCTGTGATTTAGCTCCTCGTTTATCTTCAGTTATGAGAAGAGTGCAGAGAGATAACATATTCAGCTGATAGAATGGGCCTCAAACTGCAGTGTTGCTTGTCTGACTACATTGCTGCAGTCTAGGCAGCTAAACTCACAGGAAGCTAATGCTCCAAAAAGAAAAAAAAATCATTCCCTTATGGGAGCAGCAAACACTGGATCAGTTCAGCTATATTATGAAACCACTACTCAAGGGAACAGGTGCTCAAAAGTCACACATTCCACAGGCACAAGTGGTGCTCTGATAAGAATACAATAAAAGAATATCCAGGAGAGATCAGATCAGAACAAATGTCCTCAGTAATTTATCTCCGACAAGGCCATAAAAAGGAAGAATAAAAACAAGGTAAGCATGTATAATTCTCACTACTGCTACTCTTAGCCACCAACTATTTTCAGCTTAGAACCTCTGAGCTCAGTGTGGTGTCTGTATAATTCATAAAATCTTAGCAGATATTTCTTCCACTTAGGTTTCCACTGATATCTTGGACCCATGTCAACTTCCGGCACCCACAGTACTTGGCAAGAAGTCACACACTGTGGAAGAACCACCTCCCTTTACTTGCTTTGACACCAATTCCTACAAACTTAGTATGTTCTTGATTTGTACTGGACAGTCATCAAATTACTCAGCCCTGTCTGGGCCACTTGTTACCTTACAGACCCCTCTCACATTCCGATCAGTTGTTGCTTTTTCAGATTGAAGAGCTCCAATTTAGTTGCTCTGTATGTGGAACTCATCCCATTGTTTGATCGCTCTTGTTACAGTTATCTGAACTTTCTCCAATTCTACTATATTCTGACTGGGAATAGGGAACTAGAAGGGTGCACAATACACAAGGTGCAACTAGACCCTGATTAATTGCTAGAATTCACCAGCCAGAGTGACCATGTCCACCATCATATGCCTTCACAGTCTTCAGACACATATATAATGTGCCATGCTCAAAGAGTTGACAATTACATCCCTCAAAACACTGGTCAGAAGTTCCTGTCAGCAACCCAGCACAGTAGCCTGCACATACTGGAAAAGAAAACAGGTAAAAATCTTTCAAAAGCATTCAGCTATTTTACAGACTAATACCTACGCTACACAGGATATAACTGGGCCATAGTAAATTGCTTTGTCAGAACACTGAGAAGGGAGCACAGGCTTCATGAATCCCGGCTCTCCTTGGCTCTAAGGATTATACAACAGTGAGTTTCCTCTTTCTCTGAGAAGTCTCTTTCCTCACAGTTTAAACTCTTAAAGTTCATCGAGCACATGCAGTGCAGAGAGATGAAGCAAAACCAAACAAAATGTTTTTTGACATCTGGCCTCTTACTTCCTGCACTGTAAATCAGGAGTGATGACACTGAAGTCCACATCCCAGTCCTCTGGTGATAAATATGTATAAACAGTTTATACATACTTTAAGAACTTTATATATTCTGCCACAGAGCTGTAAAATGGGTATTAGTTCCATGGAAGTCAAAACTTGGTACCAAAGAGTCAAGAATACAATCCTCTTTAGCCTCTATTCAGCCAAACCAATCCTCGTGAATGTCTGCGTACCTTTATTAAAAACACCTTGCAACCTTCACACTGAGACTTGCCAGAGGTCTACGTGCAGAAAGTGAAACTTCTGGAGTTTGTTTCCAGTGGTATCTTAAGGCCCAAACTTAGCAATATGAGCAGTAAATTTGGGTCTTTAATGGAGTGGTATGTTATCCTTCAAATAAGCCAGTATAAAGCAAAGTTCTTTTTTTTCTCTGATGTTACTACAGTAATTATAAATCCTGAAGATTGGCCACTTCAATATTCTTTAAAAAAATTCAATAGCAATATCATGTCATGTTTGATTGAGCAGCATTCTGCACTTACTTAATAAGGGTCAACAGATCGGTAGCAAAAGGCTAAGTTTAGGTTCAAGCTTATGTAGCTGTAAGAGATAAAGTCAAAAAGTGTTCATTTAGGACCTTAAGATACTTAAAGGAGAACTAAAGATAAGAAGAGATACGACGCTCAACTGAGACTTCCAAGGGCACTGAAAAAAAAAATCAAACTGCTGACCTGGAAGAGAAACTCAGACAAGAAAATATCAGATTGACATGAGTCTTTAGGCAAGAGAAACTGAGATATTCCTGCCACAGGGAATTAGGAAAATGCTGGAGATAAAAAAAGATATGGAGTGGTTGTACAGCACTGACCTCTACAAAGTGCATGTCAGACTAGCTTGGTCTTTGAAAAGACAAGAATCTTGGAAACTTAGCCCAAGGTTGGTGTTTTGTTCTAGCCAGCATATCCAACGTTCCAAATCAAGGTAATTAAATCTGAGTAGTTTTAAGGTTGGTAAGTTTTATTCCTTCCTGCAATTCACTTTAATGTGGCATTCTATCACAAATGAAACTCATACTTGGGTACAGTGATTTCCACCATAGAGAAACACAGATATCACAACTGATGTGGTTTTTTTCTAAAATTAATTTGGTATTTGGTATTGCAGTGATTAATTTGGTATTTCTATTGCAAAACTATGGTAAGCTTTCAAAAATTAACAAAGATAATGCAGTGTGGAGTTTCACTAAATTAAGCATTTTGTGGCTATAAATTACAGGAGACTAGTGACTAATGATTCCATTTCTGGGTCACCAGGTTACATCTAACTAAATCAAGAAGGACTTTTTTACCAAGCACTATAATCCAAGCTTCCTCTATGCAATTGAGTATTCAATATACTAATAGAACACTGAATCAGGAAGCATGCGAGAAACACATGGGGTTTTCTTTAATAGCATGGTTTTAATAAAATTTTTTGAAGTAACTGAAACCATAGAGCATGAGGGGAATGAAACATTTCCTGTATTTCACAGTTTGCTTTAACAGGCCTACATGAAAAAGTCTTATCAGACCACAAATGCAAGAGGAATGCCTTTGCTTCAATTTCAAATGGGGCTTTTCGTGTTTCAATGAATAAACCCCACTGCCACACTTTAAAGTTAGTATGTTTCTCAATTTGCCTTGCCCAAACCCTTATAGTTACAGATGTAACTTAAATAACTTTCAAAGGCTGGACAGTCTTTTCGGTATTCAGGATTTTTTTTCATAAACCCTTCTCTTTGAAATGAGACAAAAAAAGTAGTAAATGCTTGCTGTAATTAAACGTACTGTTGGTTTCTATTTAATGCTTCAAAGCATTACATCTCGTAAAATTTGTTTTTACTTTTCTTGTGGTGCATTTTTTCTCTGAGAGTGGCACTGCTTTCATCATTCCTTCTTCACTCGTTGTCCAGTGATATTTTAAGTCTTATCAAGACTGAAGCAACACATGTTCCAGTTGTACATTGCAAATATAGAAAATCATGTAGCTACTTATGGGAGAACATTTCTTCAGCATTAATTACTGTTTTGACAAACATATCGACGATGGAAACCGTGCACTTAGTGGCTGAAGTAACATTTTTGCTTCGTACCTTAATAATCTACATAATGGAGCATATAGGGCCTTCATAAAAAACCTGATTGTTTTGTGTGGATTTTGCTGCTGTTCAGTTTCTCACTAATAGCTACAGAAACAAATCTGAGCAATAACAGTGTTATTTGTACACCATAGCTTTGTTTTTCATATCCAGGAATCCTAAAAACTTTTTAAATGTGCACAAATACTGTCCTCTTTTCTACACAGCTTACAGCCATGCATGCCCAAGTGAGATACCTGAGAGAGAATGAAACAGGACCTGAGCTGGGAAGCTCCTAACTTGGAGTGTCCCACTTCACTTAGCTATCTGTTGCCCCCCGCTCACAGCTGTGGTCTCAAAAGGCACTACCAGGAATATTTAAGTTTTTACTGTACAAGGTATGTGGCTAAACTTGTGCACTAGGAAAGATATGACTGTACTGACATTTTAAAGTCATGTATGAATACCAGATATCATCTCCACAATACTTTCCTGAGCAATGTTTTTGCCAGGTTCCCTTTATCTGTCTATACTGTGAGTGTCAGACCCAGCATTATTAAAAGGCACTGAATCATGATCATTACCTGACTAGCCAAACCACGTTAAAACTGTTGACATGTCTGAAAATTGACATTGATTTCATCTTTCCTTACAAACACACTACTTTGAGGGAAGTAGGGCTTTGTCCTATTTTCCGTTGTCCCTAAATAAAAATATAGTTTCATTGTTACCTTTGTGAAAGCTCGGTAGCACAAACCACACAGTTCCACCAGGTAGGCCAGAGTGAAGACAGCATTCTGTATGACAAAGCTTAGTAATTTTGAAAAAGGCTCCAGAAGACTCTGCAATGACATGATTCAGAGAAATCAATAACTGGTTGCTCAGCAAAACAAAACATTCCTATTCAGAAATGTCTGAATGGAACAGCATTATTTTTAGCTCAGAGGCTATCATGCTAGGATTTACACTGTTTTGGTCAAATGGCTGTTGTTTCTAGCATTTGCCTTCATGCTTGTATGAGAAATTAGAAGCAAAAAAATAAAAAATAGTTTCACTTCTAACAGTGCTCATGAGATATGAAAGATTCTGTAGAGTTTATGCAAGAAAACCTCACTTTCAGTGGAATTGTGCTGCAGATCTTCTAATAAAATTCATTAATATTTTTTTTAAAAAAAAAGGGGGAGAACATCAAATCTTTAAGAAGATATACATTCACGCCCACATGGGAATGTAATCCTACCCACACTTTACTGTAACCTAGATTCCAAAGTTCTTACCATTCTCCAAAGAGTATCGGACTGCACAATTTTATGCTTATAGATAATACCTTCCTAGCTAGGGAATAAGAACACATAGACTAGCCCAGACTGGCTAAATCTGATGTAACAGTTTTGTCTTCTTGTAACTTACCCTGGTGGCACTAGTGGTAGGTATCTTCAACAGGCAAATCATGATTCTTAAACTAGAATCTAAAGAACACTGTGAACATATTTGAAGGCAGGAAAGATTAAAAAAAAAAGAAAGAAAGAAAAAAACACAGAGTTAGTACGTTTCTGTTACATCTTGCTTCTAGTGGTAGCAGTTATGAATTAAGTTATGGGTGAAGTCTGAAAAGAGATCCTTGATGACTGATCCTTACTTAGTTTGCCTAAAGTGGCTGATTCCTGAACATGCAGTCATACCTCTTCAGTGGTAACATGCATGAGCCTTGAGATGAGATAACTTTACTACAGTTCTAGTTTAGAAAAATTAACTTTACCCCTTTTATGACAGAGATTTCATAGAAATGTATTTCCACTGTAATAACGATGGATTAGGACAAAAAAAAAAAAAAAGAGGGAAAAATAAAAGGTGGGTTAGCAGGAGGTACACATCATCTACCTCATTTTATACTTCTGTTGTTGCCCTGGGTGTTGACATTTTCCCCCACGCCCCAAGACAGGGCTGCAATGCCCACCTAATAACATCAGAATGTGTCCTGGCAATAGCTGCTCCAGATGCCTCTCTGAAGTTGTTCCTCATGGTGTAATCGTTTTTCCTTCTGAGTAAATCACACAGGTTACAGCAGTGAATGAGGCTTTTCAGGGTCTATCCATTGTCTTGCCTCATCCCTACTGCAAACATCTGGAACAGCAGAGTCAGCTAAGAGGGGGAAGCTCAGCAAGCTTTATACCCTTGATTTCAGAAGAGCTGACTTTCGCCTCTTCAGGAACCTCCTTGGTAGTGTGCCATGAGATAAAGTCCTGGAGGGACTGGGAGCCCAAGAAAGCTGGTTGACTTTCAAGGATCATCTCCTCCAAGCTCAAAGGCATTGCATCCCTAAAATGAAGAAATCGGGCAAAAACACCAGGAGACCTGGATAAACAAAGAACTCCTGGCGAAAATCAAATACGAAAGGGGAACACACAAAGCATGGAAGCAGGGATTGGTAACCTGGGATGATTACAAGGAAGTTGCTCGTGTAATCAGAGACCAGGTTAGAAAAGCTAAAGCCCTGACTGAGTCAAATCTGGCCAGCGATATTAGAAATAACAAAAAAGGATTTTACAGGTACATAAGAGAAAAAAGAAAAACAAGAGAGAATGTGGGGCCTCTCCAGAAGGATACAGGTGACCTGGTTACTGAGGACATGGAGAATGCTGAA